AGGGCCAGAGATTTAGCTCAGTGGCACCATGCCTGCCTTGCAAGCACAAGATCCCCAATACCAAAAGAAAAAAAAAAATCATTAAAAGTTGTTACACTGTCTTTCAGTAACTAATATCAACTTGAAATTCAATCTTAGAAAACCTGAGGAATGATCATATAATAAACAAAATAGCTAACATTTATATAGTGCTTTACATTTTACCAAGTTTTTTTGTATACATTAAAAGTACTGGGGCCGGGGCTTTAGCTCAGTGGTTTTGCCACCTGCTGCGCAAGTGCAAGGACCCGAGTTCGATCACTGGTACCAAAAAAATAAAAGTACTACTGTTCACCAAGTGTTGTGGCACACACCTGTAATCCTATCACTCTGGAGGCTGAGACAGGAGGATCACTGTGAGTTCAAGGCCAGCATGGGCTACATCGTGAGTTCAAGACCAGCCTAAATTAAAAAGAGACCCTCTTTAAGAAAAAAAAACAAAAAAACTTGGTTCTGCTGCCTGCCTCACAAGTGCAAGGTTCCGAGTTTGATCCCCAGTACCAAAAAAAAACAACAAAAAAAATTATTCTGCTATTATAATTGATTCTCCAAATCCATGCAGTAGGTGGTATTGTTACTAATTTTAGAGATAAGGAAACATTCAAACACTCAGTGATCTCTTTCTGTTGATAATGTAAGGAACAGGGAAAGGGGATGTACCAGAACCCCTGCAGTGGGTCCTGATCTTCTGTGAGCCATGACAGCACAAGGCGAATTAAAGAATAAAGATAGGTGAGACTTAGAGAAGAAGCTGGGTTCTGGGCCTGATCAATGCTGCTCTGGGCAGCAAAGATGAAGGCCCCCCAAGCATGCCACTATTTATTGGGTTCATAGGGAGTAACAGATGACTCAGAGGATGGCAGTAATCCTAGGACAATGAGGATCGTATATCTCCGAGGATGGCAATAATCCTAATTTAACAAGGATCTTATGCTGATGAGGGTATCTAGTCAATGAGGAATTTATGTTGATTAGGATGGTAAGATGAGCAAAGACTTCTTACAACAGTAGGTGGGATGAGTTAAGCTGATAAAAAATTTGTCCCTTTCCAAGTGAAACCTTTCTCTTACTACTTGGTTCTCAGAGAACCAAGATGTCTTCAGCTGATATAATCTTGCCCTTGAATGTCACAGCATCACGGGACCATTGAGATCTCAGCTGTGACCAGAGGCAAAAATGGAGTTTAGGCATGTCATAGCCAACCTATAAGCAAAAAGACTAGGCCTAATCATAATTGTGAAATGATTTTTCCCAAAAATTATGTAGAATGGCTCCCAACAATATATCTTTATGCATCTCCAGGTCAGGATTTGTATCTTTCCTCTCTTTGTCAAAGGCATACATTATGCATTCAGTAACTATTTAGATTAATGAATACACAAATATTAAGGATTAAGAAGGTCAAGAGACATACCAAAGATCAAACAAAGCAGTGTTAGAATACATATCTTTGGCATTCAAAAACCTGTTTTCCATAATATTGCATTACTATTTTTCTGTGTTCCCTAATCATTTGTTCAAGCCTCCGTATTTTAGCTAGGGTCGTGTTGTTTTTCAAACTCCATATATTTGTCTTCACCATAATCATTGATCTAGCATCTTGTAAGACCTTAGGGAAAACTAAAGTTAAATAGTTGTACAAATTATACCTGCTATTTATAACCAAACCATCAGTTTAGTACATCAGACATCCATTAAGTGCCTGTTTGCCAGCCATTATGGTATGCCCTGAGAATAGTAGCATCTAAGCACCTCTTTTTATGGAGCTACTTTCAGTCTAGTTGGAGATCCTACTAATATATTTCATTACTTTATCCTTTTAGTTATCTAGAAGTTGAGTTCAGATAATATAAAATATTTTAAAAGAATAACAAACTCAGTAGGTTCTATTATTCTTTGTTGTAAGCCACACATCAACTCATAGGAAAAGAGGCCAATTATTGTTTAAAGAAATTTAACATAAATAACTACAATTCTAACTTCTAAAATCTATGGATTTAGCATGTTTGTACACACCCTCACCAACTTCTCATATACTGCTCACTCAGTGTTTTTAGCATCTTTCTGGAGCCACATTCTAGAGCACCCAGTACCACCACAAACTTTTAAAAGATGTTGGTCACCTTTTCTTCATATATTTGCCTTTCTTTGAAGATGGCTTCTTTCTTGTTCTTAAGCTGTTCACTAAGCTGGCTTTAAAGCCAGCAGTACTTATTATTAAATTAACAGATTTTAGATTTATAATTTTATCCCAGAGTAATTAGGATATTCCTCTCTTGAATACAATGCCTGATTTATGGCAGATACCTACCATCCATAGAATAAGCAAACCAAGAGTACATCCACTAACATCAGAAACTAGATTTTCCCCAAAGTCCAAGTTAAATCATGTATTTTAATTATGTAAGCCAGTGAAAGATTTACCATGAAGTAGAGGCCATTTTTTTGTATGTGAGTAACCATTTAAAATCAGTGAATTTTTAAAAAGAAAAATAAGAGGATAAGAAACTGTATAATTTAGCAAATGTTTAAATGTCAAGTGAGTAGAGCCTAAAAACCATCCAAACTTTAAAATTAAATGCCAGTGTTTTTATTATTCTCAGTCAAAGCTGGCTTCCTTCAAATCTATTATGTCCTCTTTTTTTCTCCCCATTGCTGAATTCTAGAACCACATTGTAATATGATGCTGTGTGTTGATAAAGTTGTACGTGTTGACAACAGCCTTTTCACAATTACGTACTGTGTTTTACATATAGAAATTTGCAGTCTAAATGTGTGATTAATAAGTTTCAGTATTAATCATCAATTTTTTGTTTGTTTTGGTTTTTGTGGTACTAAATATTAAATCCAGGTGCTTATGCATGTTAAGCATGCACTCTGCCACTAAACTATGTCCCCATCCCTTACTATTTTTTTTATTTTGAGACAGAGCCTTGCTAAATTGCCCAGGTTGGCCTCAAACTTGTGGTCCTGCCTCAGCTTCCCACAGTAACTGGGATTACTAGCATACAAATCCACATCCAGCTAAAAATCTGTTACAAAATATTTTATCATTTGCTGTCTTTGGCCACACTGTTCTAGCTTAGTTGATTTTTTAAAAAAAAAATCAGTGGTCACTGGTCTATTATTAGAAATTATCCTAGGATAACAGCTGTGATATTCTGTGTTACCCACAATATTCAGGGCATTGAACACTCACATGAGATATGTCGATAAGAAGTCACTAAAATCACCTTAGATTTTTTAATTGATTCTCATAGAATTAAATTACATATATGCAGCATCTAACAGGAAGATTCTTTTCTCTAAGTTTGTGTTTCAAATGAAACTTGGAACACCTTAAAATTATTGTAAAATATCAATGAATTGCACTGTCAGAGAACACTTTAAACACTAATTTAATTGCTAGACTTTTTTCTGGCTAGAATATCCAATTTATGTATGTTTACAGTGAGCCTTATCACATTAACAAATTATTACCCCAGGTTGGCAGTTAGGAACAAGAGATAATGATAATTATTATAGCCAGAAATATTTTAACACACATATCAGAACCTACCTTGTTAGCAATTAAAATAGACTAGCAGCAAATTATTTTTAATTTTATCTTTTATCAAAAAGACTTGAACCATTTATTTTAATAGAATCTTTTTACTCTGACTCTGGTATGAGAAAACAAATACACCAGTACATGGAAGTCAGTCTCCTTCCCCACCCCATGTATCTCCACAGGTGGGTCACCCAGTGAGCAAAGAGCACACTGATTAAGAGAGCATCTACCGCTTACTCTTGAAAGTCTCAAGTCAAATGTGACCGTGTAACAAAAGCATTATTCGTTTAGGCAACTAGAAGATAGACGCACACCATGAAAGAAGAGTTACATGCCCATTAGCAAGAGGAAACATTACCAGGCAAATTATTTGTAAGAGTCCCTGTGTAAAAAAATGTATTTAATATTAAAACTATCTGTGAATATAATGTTTTTCTTTCACAGTCTTCTCTTTGTATTTCTTAACCTTTATTGTTCATGTTATTTATCCAGCTTGCCATTCTCAAAATTACAAATTCTCCTCACAAAGAAATATTGTCCTCAACCGATTGTTTTATTACACGAAAATTAATTTAGCAGTCATACCACATGGTACAAAAACATTTCTCTTAGCATCCCGCTACTAGCAATAAGAATAGTCCTGAAATTTTCACGCTCCCAGATACAGCCTTTTTAACTATCTGAAATCAGCCAGCTGATCTGAGCCTCTTGTAATGTAGGTCAAGGGCTGGTCCCATCCAGATGTTGTCTTTTTCATAATCTCATTTTGCAAGGTTATATCACTGGGTTAAAAACTTCCTCAGCAAATTGTTGCCCTTCATCAAACATCCACAGGATTAATCACCTTCATCCCCCAAAAGGATCACTTTAATAGCCCATTTGTGGCTATAGAGTAGGAAAACCACAAAGCCTAAGATATACTTAATGAGCTCAAACACAACAACAATGAATAATGGCCTAACAGTCCAGATTTGTAAAAAACAGCCAGTGCCATGTTAATCGGAATCTTTAACTGGGCATAAAATGCTACCAATTCCCAGATCACATCCTAAAAACCTCACAAATATTACAGAGAGACAAATAATAAAACAAATAAACAATTAGCATTGGAAAAGTGTGTATCATAAGAAGTCCTTTTTATAGAGCAATAAGACAAATATCACATTTCTTTTTTGACCAAAGACAGGATCTCAGGTGACAAAGGAGTGTAGGATTTGGAATTAGGCTGATGAATTCTCAACTCCACCACATAGCAACTATGTGTTTTTAATCAAATTGCTTAACCTCTCAATTTCCTGGTGGTAAAGAGATAATAATAGCACCCACCCTCATATAATTATTATTAAGAAATATTGAAATAATCCACAAAAATACTTCTCACACGTTTTGGTATATCATAAGCATTCAATACCTGTTAATTGTCTTTTTATTTATGCAGAATGTGTTTTGTCTAATTTTTAGACTTCATCCTTCGGTGTTCTTCTCTGCCTTCATTTTAATTGGTGTCAATATTGAATTGTTTCAGAGCTGTCAGTTGAAGAGTAACAAATACTTCCTGAGACAATTTTCTTTTTCAAAGTTACACAAAACATTGGTTATTTCAATGTATCCTTTCATTTCATTTTTATAGAGGTACTATTTTTTCTTAAGACAGGGCAGTACCAGGGTTGTAGTTAATACTGTTAATTGAAAATTCCTTGTGGTTTGAAACCTTGCAGGCGAAAAATTTCAGTACTCTTTAATGAACAACACCACATATATTTTCACCTACCAAGAAAGATAAAATTTTAGGATGGATAGAGAAAGTGGAGTATCATTCAGCCATGAAAAGGAACATACTAATACCTACTAAAACTTATATGACCCTTTAAAAAGTTATGCTAAGTGAAAGAAGCCAAGCAGAAATGGTTATATATTATATTATTTGTTTTGTGTGATGCAACTAGAATAGACAAATCCTTAGTGCTGAAAGCAGATTAAACATTATCTGGGAAGGAAGACTTGAGTGTGATTACTTAATGGGTAACAGGATATGTTAATGGGATGATGAAAAGTTTGGAACTAGAGAGAGCTCATGGTTATAAAGCATTGTGAATACAGTAAAAGATATCTAATTTTACACTTTAAAATGGCTGTTATGTGAATTTCATCTCAACTTAAAGAAAAAAGAATAAACTGAAATGAGTGTTTTATTGATGTAATGCACAGATGTTCACTATTTATAACAGTGAAAGATGAGGAATTCCTAAATCTCCAATAGTAGAGGATTCACTGTAAAATAGGATATTATGTAGACAAGAACATTATATTTTGTCATATCTGCATAGATATCATTTTAGAAAAATAATTTTTAATATATACATATCTTGTTTTGGTTGTTGTCACTGCAAAAACTTTGCTTCACAAAGACATGTTGAAACCAGGCTTTTCAGTGCTTATGTAGCTACCTCAGGATAGTCCACCTTGACTTTAATCCACAATGTGTGGAGATTCTAAGTTGTTTCAAACGGACTTTTAAGGCCACCATCATTTGCAATCCCAAGAAGTTGGCCTTCTAGCACAGACAAAGTCAGTATATCTGCTTATTCACAAATGGGTCACAGATCCATTTCCTCCCAGTTTGGGGGTCTTTTGTGGTTGGGAAGTAATACTCAAGCTCTTTTGAAAGCTGAAATTGGTGATCTGATGCCCTGGCTGTCTCTTTTGAAATCTCTGCTAATGTTTGAAACATGTCAGAAAGCCCCACTGTTCACTGATCACCCCTATAATTGCAGTTTGTCTTGGAATGCAGTCACTTTATCTGTCAGTGTGAACACAGTTGTCATTCTTTCCTGAAGTGATGAGTTGAATTGAATATGTCACATAAGTAAATAAGTTTTGTGACCCATTTTATGTCACTGAAATATACTGCCAGTGGTGACTTGTTTTTTCTAAAAGAACTCTCTTGAACAGTTCCCATAACTTAGAAACTCCAGCCAGTGACCTACCTTTAGAAAGCCATCTCACTTCTGTAGATAACAGATGTATATGCTCTTATGTCCATCTCCTGACAGAGCTGCACAGACATGAGTTAAGCTATGTCCTTTAATGTGGTTGATAATTTAATCACATCTGCAAAACATTCAGTAACATTTTTCAACTTGCCAGCATTTCTCTATGGATGACATAGTGCATAAACTCACATTCAAAAGTGACCTCTTTGCTGGGCATGGTGGCACATGCCTGTAATCCTAGCACTTGGGAGGCTGAGGTGGGAGGATTTCCATGAATTCAAGTCCAGCCTGAGCTACATAGTGAATTCAAGGCCAACCTGAACTACATAACGAGACCCTGTCTCAAAAAAAAAAAAGTGACCTCTTTGACCTTAGTAGTGAAACCAGAAAGCTGTACAGTCTATGCATATTCCTACACAAAATGACCAGTTCAGTTTTCCTGATATGTAATATCTCAGGCTTGACTATTTTTGTTGAATATCTCTGCAGCTGTGATCCTGGTTGGCAACAAAAGTGCACATAACATATCCTTGTGAAACACATCCTCCTGAAAAATATATCACACAAATGCATTGTTGTCTTGTTAACATCAGTAGAATAATCAACCTGAATTGCATACCATGGTGACCCATTAATCCTCTCTAACAATTGTGCCTCAATATCCTCTACTGTTGCATCAATTTGTATAGTTACAGTGAGAGTCAAAAGAGGAACATGTGCCTTTTTTTTCAATTATTTTATATCATTACATATTTGTAGTACATAATGATTACATTCCTTGTAGGAAGTTGGCACAAGTACACCTTTTGAACTGCACCTTGTCCTAAAAGTTCATGACAGAAATATCCTTAGGTGGGCCAGGGATGTGGCTCAGTGCCACAGCACCTGCCTGGCAAATGCAAGGTCCTGAGTTCGATATCCGGTATTGCCAAAAAAAAAAAAAAATGTCCTTAGCAGCAGGCAAAATCAACTATTCATTAGTAACAGGCTTCTTAGCTTTAGCAGTGAAGTTAGTTACTAAGAATGATACCATCAGTGCAGACACATTTGATGAAGTGGTGATCTTCAATAATTGCTCTGTTCTTCCTTTTCATATTGTTTTTTTTTTTTTAAACTAAAGGCTTGTCCTTTAATGCAGGGTGCTTGATCTCCATGTAGTGAAGCAGTTATGAAGGAGTCATGCCTTGGTTGGATAGCGACATATTTTACAAAGCCTGTTGCAGTGAACTCATAATTTAAGTAGGGCTCTCAGTATTTTCTTTTCAACTACCTTTGTTTTTGTTGGCTTAGAGTCTTCTTCTGTCTCATCGTGGAGTACTTCTCCTTTGCAAAGAAGCTCTCCAGTGATGTTTGTTTTTCACTCTCTTTGGCTAGGGTTAGCTTGTGGGCTTCCCAAAACTGTCACTGAGACAAATGTACAATATGAGAAAGAGGCTTGGATATAAGTGGTTAAATAATGAGTCAGCCACACACAGACTAAAATAAGTGTCAGATTCTGACTTACTGTCTGCCACCAGATGCAGATGTTCACCAACTAACTTGCCACTATAAAGCTTACACTAGATGCAGCTTATCTAGGGTTTTAATGAGTCGGCAAGCAGTTGATTTATTATGGTCCCCTTACAGTCAGACCTCTCTCATGTTAATTGGAGTTCACAATCTCTCCCCAGCACTAGCATCACAGCCTCAGCTCCAGCTGAGAGCATCAGACAGTGGATTCTAATAAAGAGCACACAACTTAGATCTTTTGCATATCCAGTTCACATTAGTGTTTGCACTATGAGAATCTAATGCTGCCGGTAATCTGACAGGAAGTGAAATGATGGGGAGCAGCTGTAAATACAAATGAAGCTTCAGTCAATTGCCCACCACTCACTTCCTGCTGTTCCTAACAGGCCACATACAGGTACTAGTCCATGGCCTGGGTTGGGACCCCTGTATTACCTTTAGTCTTAGTTGATAGAATTTCAGTGTTTTAATAATGCTCATGAAATAATATTGAGTGAAGATAATATTAAACTTGTTAGTATTTAACATATGTTAAAATGTTTGTGCATGCAGGTGCCTTGGTGGAAAAAGTATGTAACAAAGTATTCTCAAATAAAATAATGAAACAATCTTTTCATTTTTGAGATTTTAGATAAGTTTACTTAATAGTTGTCAGTTTTTATTGCATATGCAACTTTAATTTGAAATTTATGTTCTATAATCTGTTCAATATGATTGAAAAATGTTTTGAAATTGGCACTTCCGTAAGATATAGTTTATAGACATAGTTTAGTTAGTATAGTTAAGACATAGTTGGAACAGGGATTTAGCTCAATGGTTCTGGCACCTGCCTTGCAAGCTCAAGGTCCCAAGTTCAATCCCCATTACCCCCCCCAAAAAAAGACATAGTTTATAGGCATAGTTTAATGTCTGTTAAGACAGCCCTTGCTAAGAGTATCATGAAATCAGCATATGTTTAATTTTTAATTCAACTTGTTATGTTAATAAAGACACCTAGCATGTATTGAGTATGGACTGTCAGACACTTGTCTTTTAAGCATTATTCAGTCAGGAATGGACTAATTCTGTGCCCATGCTATTTGTTATATTGTTTTACAATTTCATATACATTGTTCAGTCTTTTTAATACCTGTCTCTAATTCATGTTCCTTTCCATTAGACCTTACAACTTCCAGCTTAACAATGGTATATATACTTTGAAGCAATTTCACATTTCTGGGTAACATTAGTGATGTCTAGCAGAGTCCCCTTGAATATTAAAATATTTATGTATTGGGCCGGGGATTTTAGCTCAGTGGTTCTGCCCCCTGCCTCATAAGCGCAAGGTCCCAAGTTCAATCCCTGGTACAAAAAAAAAAAAGTATGTATTAATTAACATTGAGAGTTTAATGTTCAGTTTAAGCATGTAGAACACCTAGCAAATACACATACCTTAAAAGGAAATTGTAATATGGAGAGATTGAATTTCAGAATGGCAGTAGATGAATCTCTCCCCTTAACCTTAAAAAAAAAAAAAAAAATAAGTACTGGCCAACCAACTCCTATCAGTCATTATAGTACTCTGGAAATTAACCAGAGCCACAGAGGGTAGTAAGTGTTAATCTAGCCAAGGAAACTACTGACCATCTACAAGACAGCAGAGCAAGATGCAGCTTATCCCTTGCCACTCACTGAAATCCTGAGGCTGTTCCCATCCTGCTTCCCTTCTCCACTAGAGTAGTAGCATTGCCATGAAAACCTAGGAACTTCACAGCCAATGGACAGGACTGAACTCCTTGGTGCTCCAATATAGTCTCCTTCCCTGTAGCATTGTCAGTATTTTATATGACTAGCACCTCCTGGGAAAAGTCTCCATTCTCAGGATATTGACTATTTGATTTGACTCAGAGTCCAGATTTGGGGGGCTGAGAGGCAACTATCCCTGGGCATTACCAAAAAACAACAGCAGTCTGCTGGCCACATTACAACTATCTAAGCCTTTGATTAAAGGAAACAAGAACTTTGCTTAACTATAAAAAAGGAAATCCTGGAAAATTGATAACTATAGGCAACTTTGAAAAGCTACAGCATATTCATGGAGGATGTTGAAAGTTGAAAAAGACCTAGAAAGGAAAATACCTCGTAGAAATAACTCAGCTGTCTTTCTCCTTGACCTTAAGGTCCTGCTCAAGCAGGAAATGAGAACTAAGGCTGTCCTATAAACTGTCTGAACTTTGAAAGCATGTTTTCACACATCAGTCCCCTTGACAAAGGGTAGAAGACACAGGCAGGTTACTTAAGGAATTCTTATGACCAACCATTGGCCACTAAATTATATTGACCCAGGTATCCCCTCAGTAAGCTAGACTTAGAACAAAAACTCCTAAGATATAAATTAAAAAGAATGTAGGGGCAGCCACTACGGGCAATAAAGAATCTACACAGTTAATCCACAAAGTCACTAAATAACGACAACAACAAAACAAAAGCAAACACTGGGGGAGGGGTCCTACTTTTGTCACATAATCTAAAAAGTTCACTTACAAGACTTTCGGAAAAACAAAGAAGTATGCTACATACACATTACAGTTAAAAAAAAAAAAAAAGCAACAGAAAATATGCCTGAAAAGACCAGATGTTGGACTTACTAGAGACTGTAAATCAGCTATCTACAATCTGTATTAAAAGCCCTAAAGGAAACCAGGGTTAAAGAATTGCAGGAATGTATGACAACTGTATCTCATTAAATAGAGAATACATATATATATAGAAATCACTTTTTAAAAATCAAATAGAGGGCTGGAGTTGTAGTTCAGTGATAACAGTGCTTACCAAGCATGCATAAGGCTCCTGAGTTCAGTCCTCAGCACCACCAAAGAAAAAACTCTGAAGTTGGAAAAAGGACAGTAACTGAAATTTTAAAATTCAGTACAATGCTCAGCAATAGATTCTAGCTAGCAAACAAATCTACAAACTTGAATATACGTGAATTGAAATTAAGCATTCTGAATTATAGGAAAAAATGAAAATTAACAGTCTCAGAGACATGTGGAGGCACCGTCAAGCATGCCAACATCTTCATAATAGGAGTCATAGGATGAAAGAAAGAAAGAGAAGGAATATCTGAAAAATAAGTTGTGGCTATCGTGATTCACCTGGGTCTCCTAGACCTAAGGTGTACTTTTATTTTTGCTCTTTTCCTCTTTTGTTCAGCCCAAGTTTGATCTGCAGAGCCAGTTTCTCTCTTACCCCTTCACCCTTCACTTTTCAGAATGAAGGCACTGTTTAAAAGAAAGTTGGAAGTACCCAGATTTCATAACAAATATTAATCTACACATCTGAATAGCACAGAACATTCCAAGTAGGGTACTTAGAGAACCACACTCAAATACATCATAGTCAAACTGCCAGAAGATAACCAGAGATTCTTGGAAGCAAAGGCAAAGAGAAGCAATGCACCATGTATTAAGAGCTCCTTAAGAAGATTAACAGCTAACTGCTCCTCGGAAACTGGAGGCCAGAGGCAGAGGATAAATACACTTAAAGTGCTGAGAAGAAAAACACTGTCCCCCAAGAATTCTGTATCTGACAAAACTACCATCTTTCAGAAATGAAGTATTTTAGACATTCTGAGATAAACAAAATCAGAATTCATTACTAACATCTCTGAAAACTCTGGGGGTGGCTTCAGGTTCATTAATATTTCACATTTTTAAACTTGAAAACATTTCTGTTACCTGAATTTTTAACATTTTAATATTTGATGGGACAATGTTTTCAAAACTGTTTTTTGTTTTGCTTTGTTTTAATAAATCTAGCTGGACAACTGAGCCAGTCGGCACATCTAGCACTCCAGCTACCATACAATGTACTTGGTTTAGGTCGAAGTGCAAATTTTCTTGACCATCTTTATGTTGGTATTCCCCGTCCACCCGGAGAGAAGGTAAGTAAAAATTTAATTTGTCTAAAATTAATCTGTTTTAATAATCACTACTTAAATATTTGAATGTAATAATATGAGTCCAGTTCTATTTGAATTCAAGTAATTAAAATATTTGTTCTTCCCTGTAGGGAATAAAAATTGATTGGTAGTGATTAAGCTTAAGTAGACTATATCATGATTTGAAGACATTGTATGTTTTTTCCATTTCCTCTCCCATAAACCTCAAGACTTCCTACCCTTCTTTCCTGGTTTTTCTTCTTAACATTTTTACCACCTAATATATTTATTTTCCTACCATGGATAATATAGTATTACATTTATGTATTGTATTACACCTAAATATAATAAGTATAATAGTATACTCACTTTGTTTGTCCATCTCTCCTCAACTTAAATTTTAACTCTAAACAGCATCTGTACATAATGCTTTAAACAGTACCTGCTATATGTGTCCAATAAATATTCGTTGAGTAATGAATGCATTCATAAGGCACAAATATAATCTTTCCCTGAAAAGGTCCAGAAGTTCTTCCAACATGTTACAGAACATCTGTTGGGGACTACATATGTTAATTTAGCTTAATCCATACCCAGGATTTCAATTTCTCAAAATAACTGAGATTTTTCCTTATTTATGTAAAATAATTGTGTGCTTCTTGAATGTAATAGATGTTAAATATTCTTAAATTCTTTTTTCAGTCTATAAGAAAACAAGAATGGACTGCAATCATTCCAAATTCCCAGCTAATTGTCATTCCATACCCCCACAATGTCCCTCGAAGGTAATGTCCTTGCTTAAACTAAATTTGTTAAAGGTACTATCAACTCTGAATCATAGATCATTACATCTTTTTAAAACTCATATTCCTACTATGTTCTCATGAGTAATGTAATCTGCCTATAGCAAATTTTAAACGAGTAAACATACTTACACAAAAGGTCTCTGACATATTTAATAAAGAAAAAATTCAATCCTATTGGAAAAACAGCCAGTTAATTAAAGATTTATACATGTTCTGCTTAAATAAATTACTCTTCAGTTATCTAGTTATAAATTTTAAAATTTCAGGGTGTGTGTGTGTGTGTGTGCTGCCAGCAATTTAACCCAGAGCCTTGAACATGCTAGGCAGGCACTCTACCACTAAGCTATAACTCCAGTCTTAGGTTGCTGTATTTTTTAATAAGCACTGATCTTTTAAGTAAATTCTTTGAGAAGTGCTATATTTGGAGTCAAACAGTCTGCAGGTTAGAAAAATTCAGCTCTATTGCTGACTGAAGCAAATCTGAAAACTAACCTTTGCTTCTCCGGTGGCCCAATGTTTACATCTGTAGAATGGGAGGTAGAACACCTGCCTTATGAGGGTAAGGATGAAACACAGTTAACACAGTGCCAGACATATGTTGTGAATAGTAGGTGTTTTTATTCTTATCAGAAGCAGGTGCCTTTCATGATATAGCATTTAACTGTAATGCTTAATTTATCTTTCTTCAAGTTTTAATTATATGATTGGCTATTCTTTTTAAAGTAGGTGATAAAGGTGTTCAGTAATGTTTAAATTTGGTTAGGAAAAATATTCTAGTCTGGTATCAACATGGGAAAATAAAGAGAGATGGTGTGATTTATCTATGAATATGTAACCAATAGGGTCCTGCTTTTTACACATTTTCTCAAAAGATAGGCTTTATTGTTCTTCCCCTGCCTCAGCCTGGGGATGGAGCCCAGGGCATTTTACATGCCAAGCATGCACTGTACCACCTCTCAGTCCTGTTATTTATTGTATTCCTAGATGAATGTTTTTGATCTGTGCTAGAACAAGCTCATGCCATGTCTGGAGCTGTGTGCATCCTTTTCCATCTCTATTCAGTGAAGTCACATTAAACTCAGTTGTGATGGGAGAATTTGCTCCATGAAAATGGGTAAATGTCATAAATCAGGTCTAATCCCACTTGAGAGCCATTTTACCAATGCAGCACTTGATATATTTTATTGTAGATTTACAGGCTTTACAAACAAATTTGCTTAAGAAAACAAACCTTATTACACTGTTATGCTTAAAACAACAGAAATAGTTATAGTCCTGCTTCTTTTTTGTTTTTGTTGTTGCTTTGTTTTCAGATGGGGATCACACTGTATATCCAGTTGGTAAGGCCTCTCAAGTACCTGGGATTACAGCCTCACACTACTGTGCCAGGCCCTGATTCAGATTTTTTTTAATGAGCCTATATTGTACATTTATGTTAGTTTCCTGTACATGAAATATATAACAAAAATAAAAACTTTATATCATGAATAGGAAACTATACAAAGCATGGTACTATCATATAGTGCAGTACCAGGGTTCATATTTACTACCATGGACATAGAACAGTCTCCTAAGATAAACAGTAGGCCAAAAAATAAAAAAGCAAAATGCAGAAAAGTATGTAAAATATGTGACCATTGTGATTTTGAAAGATGGCATCTTTGAATATGTATAATATATGTTTATTTCTGAAAAAGATATGCAAGAAACAGGTCTGAGCAACTGCCCCTGAACAGGAAAATGAGTATTGGCTTTTTTTTTGGTCCTACTTTATTTTTGTACCAAAATGCCTATGTTTTTTATTTTTTTAATATTATTTTAAAAGTAGAACTGCCAGAAAAGCAAAACCTCATGAAACAATTGTTCTTAAGTACTCATAGTTAAACCTCAACTAATTATGTTTTCTTAAAGTTTACTTATTCTTCTGAATTTTCAGGAAATCTTACCAATAGCTTTCATCCACAATCTCAGTATTTTCATGTTTCTCTTGCTCTTTCTGAACGAATATTCTTTTTTGGGGGGCGGGTACCGGGAATCAAACTCGGGTCCTTGTGCTTGCAAGGCAGGCAGCGGAACCACTGAGCTAAATTCCCAGCCCGTGAACAAATATTCTTTTCAAATTTATGTACATAATAAAAACCAAATTGATTTTAGTTTGAGGTGTATTTTGAGATTTATTGACTAGAGGCTAACTAGAAGATCAATAAATTTTAATTATACCAAAATAAATCAATAGTGATTTGCTTTTCATCAAATGGTTTTTCCTTTATTAAATATTTAAAATGAAAATATATCTGTTTTCTGTTTCCAGGGAGAACAGAAATTCCCATATATATAACTACCTGCAGTGTTGGTGATAAAGACCTGCTTTCAGGCTTTTCAGGGGTTGCAAGTGCTGGATTATATATATTGTTTTAGGAGGCAAGAGCTAGTTCTAATGATCTTTAGTTTGTGTATCCTGCCATTAACAGTGAGGAACTAAAGGTGATTTTGTAAGAGATCTCAGTATAAAAGTCATTACAGTAATGTTAAACCCTCCAGTATGACCCAGAAATAGTAGATTTTTCTACTAGCCACCTGTCTACACCCAGACATATGGTCATTTTACTTGGTCATATTACATGTGTGGGCAAAGGTCAGAAAAGGTTTATTCAAATCATGTAACTACATATTCTTGGAGTTCAAGGTTTCAAATTCAGCAGGTTGATCAAAATATCAAAAAGATGTCTTTGTTTTTCTAAATAGCCTTGGTAAGTTTATATAATAATAATTGTCAGAAGATCAAACTTGGAAAAGGAAAAATATCAAAATGTCTCATCAAGAATTATACCTCAGATAGGGCTGGGGATTTAGCTCAGTGGTTCCGGCGCCTGCCTCGCAAGCACAAGGTCCCGAGTTCAATCCCTGGTACCAAAAAAAAAAAAAAGAATTATACCTCAGAGGGGTGAGGAGTGTGTCTCAGTGTTAAAGTGTTTACCTTCAAGGTGGCCCTGGGTTCAAGCCCCAGCACCATGTAAAAAAAAATTCTTGACTATCAAGAAAGAAATGGACTTTGAGGGATCATCAGTATTCTTACCACTATTGAAATTTACTAAGTTATTTTACTCACAATGAATGTGTAGATGACTAATGATTTACTGAATGTACTGTTAATTCACCTGTTTTCCTTTTCATCTCAGTTTAAGCTTCTCATTAAGATTTGTAATTTTAATTTTTTTTGTTTTTATCTGTAGCTGGAGTGCCAAACTATATCTCACACCAAGTAACATTGTTCTACTCACTGCTATTGCGCTCGTCGGTGTCTGTGTTTTCATCTTGGCAATAATTGGCATTTTACATTGGCAGGAAAAGGTTTGTTCATTTCAATGAAAACATTAACTTTAGTTAATGTATTATAATGTGTTCCTCTTTAAAACAACATTAAAGGGCCAGTGCTGTGGCTTAGTAACACAGCAGCAGCCTAGCATGTGTGAGGCTGTGGGTTAGATCCCCAGCACCACCACAATAAAAGTATTAACTATATAAGAAGGTTCCAGTAATGCCGCTCCATAAAAAGGGCTTCTTCATAGGAAAGAGCTAGGGTTTTATTTGATGGAGTGTCCTGTCATAATCTTTTTTTACTAAAATTACCTTCAGTTTCATCTTAATTACTCTTTTATGAAAAAGCACATGTTAATTATTCTAATAAATATTCATACATTTGATACTCAAATTAAATCACTCTTTTACATTACAAAAACAATAACAAAGTTACATATTCTGTTAACCTTAAGATTGCAGTTTAAACCAGTTGTGGTAACCACTGTAATTCCTGTTGGGAGGGCTGAGGTAAGAGGATCACAGGTTTAAGTCTAACCTGGACAATTTAGTAAGACCCTGACTCAAAATAAAATTTAGAGCTATATCTGGGGATGTAGCTCAGTGGTAGAACACTTGCCTAGCATGCAAAAGGTTCAATCTCAGGTAAACAGAGAGAGAGAAAATTGCACTTAAAAGGTATGATCAAGGATGACTCTACATACGAGAACATAGTTTAAAAATATTACATAGCTGTGTATTATGGAAGACATGAAATTAATCTCATTAATTTCTCAGGAGATCTGTTTATAGCATAAATAATTACGATACAATGCCTTAAAGTTTTAATTACAAGTATATATTTGGCCATGTATATACTGTGTCTCTTGTGGCACTTTGCTGGTTCTTCTTCTTTAACCTGTTTTTTATGTATGCTGGCTGCTACTTTCTCCCAATCTCTCAATGCAAGCTTTCTACAATGTCTGCCCTAGTCTATCTTCTCTATGAACTTTTCATACACTTTCTCTCACAATTTCATGTAATATCATGGCTCAGCTATTAACTCAAAATATTCCCAGACACTTCTTTGCATCTTTACTTCTCTCTCTCTCTCCCTGTCTCCCTACTAGAGATTGAATCCAGTAATTGCTGAATTGCTGAGTTACATCCCCATTCCCCACCCTTTCTCTCCCACTCCCCCGTTTTTTGTTTGGTTGGTTGGTTGGTTTTGTTGACAGGGTCTCTATTTGTAGTTCAGGCTGAACTAACTCACTATGTAGCCCAGACTGGCCTCGAATTCACAGCATCCCTCTTGCCTCAGCCTTCCAAGTGCTGGGCTTACAGGCATACACCACCACGCCCACTTGTTCCTTTTTTCTTTTTCTTCCTTTCTTTCTTTCTTTTCTTTTCCTTTCTTTTCTTTTCTTTCTTTTCTTTCTTTCTGGAGGCAGGGTCTTGCTGAGTTGTTCAGGCTGGCCTTAAACTTTCAAACTTCCTTCCTCAGACTCCCGAGGAGCTGGGATTACAGGCATGAGCTCTACCTACCATGCTGAGCCTCTTAAAGCTCTCTCCCCTCATTTCCACCTGTCACCATTTTATTTCTACCTAGATTACTTAGAAGCACCTCAAAATCAGTATTCTAAAGCTTTCTCTCTCTTCTGTCAATTCCCCATAAGACTGTCTTTAGCTGACTCCACTTCCTCTTTCCTAATACCACTGTAGCTCAGCCCCTTTTTATATCCTACCTGATATCTCTAATTTCTTTCTCTCCCCTTTCCATTTGACATATCCTATTGCTTTCAGATTACTCATCAGTAAGTTTAGCCTTAATTATTTCACTCTCTTGCTCAAAAATCTCTGTCTGCTGCATAAACTGTGTGAATTCCTGAGCCAGACCTTCACATGATTTCACAGGACTCCACAATATATCTTTTTATCCTTATTTCTTACTGATTCCTTTCATATATTCCATTCTTCTTTCAGAATTCCCATGACTGATCATGTTCTCCCAGCTTGAAATGAATGCCCTTCCCTCCTATTTCCATAAATACCACTTTTTCCAAACTTTCCCTTTCCTCACTCACACCTAGAAGTAATCTCTCTCAGAAGTAACATTCTCACTTTGTGACCTGAAGGACAGTGTGTTTCATTTTTTTTTTCTTTCTAAGTATTAAGTTGCTGAAGAGCAAGCTATGAAACTGGGGAATATTTTAATCCCCTAAAATAACATACACAATACCTTACTTGGAGTAGAGGTCAATAAACATCTGCTAAATCATTAGGTTAACCAAAAAAAATGAATATACTTTAGGTTTGTCTATTAACATCAGTGTTAAGAATGGGTGGGAAGCCAGTGGTTGAATCTGTCATTATAGAATCTAATGTTTATTCCTACTTTCTTTTTTTTTCTAGTATGGGGGATCGAACTCATGACTTTGCACTTGCCAGGCAGGTGCAGCGTCACTGAGCTATATCCCCAGCCCTATTTCTACTTTCAAATAAAGGACAAGCTAAGAATTTAAGGAATATCTATTGTTGATTTTTAAATTGAACTAGTAGACCATTAATTATAAAATAGCTTCATTATTGCATTATAAAATCACACCTATTATCTGCTAATTCCTGAGGGCTGTTTAAAAATTCATCACTTGTATTTCAGAAATGAGTGTCCTTAACATTTTCTTATAATTTCTAAACTGGTCTAAACTTCTTTTTCAGAAAGCAGATGATAGAGAAAAGCGACAAGAAGCCCATCGGTTTCATTTTGATGCTATGTGACTTGGGTTTAATATTGCCTAATGGAATGAATTTTCATGTGATTAGTTGAAATAACCAACTTCTGGCTTATCAAAAAATAGGAGATTTTGAATATTATTTATAAATGATGCATCATTTGGTAATTATTTGGAAAGTATTAAATACAGTCTGACTGTCTCACAAGGTCTTTTTTAAGCAGTTTGTATACAATTGGGTTCATTATTCAGTAGTTCTGTGCATTTTTCTTCCTTTGTGGAATGTATTGCATGTACTGTGGTGTCTATGTATTTATAATCTTATTAGAGTAATAATGATGGATAAAGACATGTAAATAAAACTATTTAAATGAGCAGGATTCTTTTATTCCACTTAAATTGGTCTTGTTTCTTATTATGATAATACAAATTATACTTTTGCAGATGCATCACAGATAGAGTTATTAAACCTGCACCTTCATTACAGCAGTTCAGGGGTCTCATTGTTGGCACACGATGTAGTGATTGAGCACTCTGGCTTTGGAGTCACAGCAAGACAGACTTGCCTTAAACTCCTGCTTCCAGAGCTTGCAAAGATATTGTTTGAATTTGGCTCTTCCTTAACCACTGTGTGCTTCACTTTTGTTTACACAATGGGGCTAATAGTATACCTAACTCACTTGAGTTATTGTAAACATTACATGGGGAGATTTTTGTAAAATGCTTAGCTTGGTGCCTAGCACAGAGTAAGTGCTCATTAAGTGATAGTTGTCATTATTTTCAGATGATTTATTAGACTTCTACAACTAATTATCAAATTACATTTTAAAAATTATATAGAATTGGTAGAATTTTACTTTCAGGCATGAGGAAATCATGTTCTTTGGAAAACCGAAATTCTTGGTGGTTCACAACTTATATGTACATTACTTGCTCATATTGACTAAAAATTATAGTACTCTCCAAGAATAAATGTGCTCTAAAAACGTTCATGTGAAAACTAATCCTTATCATGTGATAATGAAGAACATTTGGTTTCTTGAAAAGAAGCTACTGTAGGCAGCATCTGGGAAAAAAAATCTTCAATTGCATTTCTGTTCTCAAAGGCTTAGAAAAGTCTGTAATTTACATTCAAACTTCAATGCAAATTTTATATTATATTCACATTGCCAAAATTTACTTCAAAGAGACTGAAGTGTAAGATTGAGAAACAAGGGCCAGGGATTTAGCTCAGTGGTTTCGCTGCCTGCTGTGCAAGCTCAAGGACCGGAGTTCGATCCCCGGTACCAAAAAAAAAAAGATTGAGAAACAAGTTTATATATGAAGTCTAATAATTTTCTAATATGCAAATAGACATGTGATAGCTCTAAAATACAAAAATTTCTCTGAAAACAATTTTTCCCTTCATGCTGTTTTTTTCTTTACAGTTCACTGAGAGTGGCATGTGTTTAATTATTTACTGTGTATCTAAGCATGTTAATGTGTCTTCCTAATAAATATGCCTTACTGAAAGAAAGTGTTGTGGTCAGTTTTTAAACAATTATTTTGGAGCTGAAGAGGCACTCGAGGTTTTGAATTATAAATCACTTATCTGGACCCTGACACTGAGGGAAGCTGACTTGTCCATTCCCTGTTTGTAAGTCAGGAACAACACGGAGTTCTCCTGATAGTACTCACATTCACTCAACAGTTACCAGCCCACAGTGCTCTGCCAGGAGCTGGAATGCCAAGCACTCCATGTTTTCAAGACACAGGCTTAGTATCTATCAAGTTAGAAAGTATGAGTCTTACAAATGACTTGTCAGCCGGGGATTTAGCCCAGTGGTTTCGCTGCCTGCTGCGCAAGCACAAGGACCTGAGTTCAATCCCCAGTACCAAAAAAAAAAAAAAAAAAAATAGAAACAAATCAGTATGGAGGTTCTGAAAAGACTAAAAATATAAACCCCATTTGACCTAGCTATATGTCTTCTAGGTATCTTCCCCAGAGTTAAAGAGATCATATTAGTGATACATTCATACCCATGTTTATAGCAGCACAACTCATAATAGGTAAATCTTGAAAATGGCCTATATGCCCATTGATAAACAAATGGATAAAGAACATGTAGTGTTTATACTTAATGGAGCACAACTCTGCCATAAAGCATACACTTGAGGCACTTGGTAAATGGGTACACCTTGAGACCATAATACTGTATTAAGTGAAATAAATCAGACATAGAAGCTTAAATATTGCATGGTTTCTCTCATATGAGAAACTCAAAATATAAAGAGCAAAGTAAAAGAATAGGAAGTAGGGAGAGCTTTCTCAAATGGGAAGGGGAACAAAGAGATGGAAAGGGAAGGGAAAGGGGATGGAGTAAAAAAGTTGAAGAAAAATAGAAATACATAGCATTTTTGTAAATGGAAGGGGGTTAAGAGTTGCAAGAGCAGGGAGGCATAGGAGGGGTAGAGGATGAAAAAAAGAGCTGAGAAGTGTCTATTTTGTCTATTTTGTCTTCCAGCAGATTAAGTGTTTGAACATTTACATCTTTGATCTATTTTTATTTTAGTCTAGTACATGGCAAGCTATGTGGGTCAAGACTCAATGTTCTGCGTGTGGATAAACAGTTTTCCCATCACCGTTTATTAAAGAGGCTATCTTTCCTCCAATATGTTTTTGGCCCCTTTATCAAACAAGAATGTTTCTGCTTCCTATATTCCAGTGATGGTGTTGTGTCTGCTTCTATTCCAGTGATATCAAACCTTTTAGAAACAAGTGCTCAAACTGCAACCACAAACCCACTTATTTATCACATAGTACCAACACTGCAATTAAACCTGAATATTGATATTTTAGTTTAGAAAAAACAACTCATACATTAACATACTTGTCTGAAAAGAAAAATAATATGGATGCCATAGGCTCACCACTACTGCTCTATTCTGTTCCATTGATCCACATGTCTATTTTTGTGCCAGTACCCATGCTTTTATCACTGTAGCTCTGTAATAATTTCAAATCTGAGATTGTGATGTCTCTTTTGTTACCTAAGATTGCTTTTGCTACTCTGGGTCTCTTCTGGTTCCATATGAATTTTAGGATTGTTTTCTCTGGATCTGTGATGAATACTATTGGTATTTTGATTGGGATTGTGTTAAATCTATATATCAGTGGAAGAATAGTCATTTTGATTATATTGGCTCTGCCTATCCAGTAAAATGAGATGTTTCCATTTCCTGATGTCTCTTCAATCCCCTTTTTCAGTGATGTAATTTTTATTATATAGGTCCTTCACTTCCTTGGTTAAATTAAGTTCTGAGTATTTGATTTTTCTTGATACTATTGTGAATGGTATTATTTTCCAAATTTCATTCTTGAGTTTATTGTTGTTATATAAGAAAACTATTGATTTTTGAGGGTGTTGATTTTTGTATCCTACTCCTCCACTGAATGTGGTAATTCTAGAAGTGTTTTGGTGGAAATTTTTTTTTCCGGTACCAGGGATCTAACTCAGGACTTTGCACTTGCCAGACAGATGCTGTGCCCCTGAGCTAAATTCCCAGCCCTTGGTGGAAATTGTTGAGTCTTGTAAGTAAAGGATCATGTCATCTGCAAATAATGATACTTTGATTTCTTCAATTCCTATGTGTGTCCCTTATACTTCTTTCTCTTGCCTGATTGCTCTGGCAAATGTTTCAAGGACTATGTTGAACAGGAATAGTGACAGTGGACATCCTTGTCTTGTTCCTTCTTTTAGAGAAGGCTTTCATTTTTTCCCCATTTAATATGATATTGGCAGTAGGTCTGTCATAAATGGTTTTTATCAGATTGACATAAGGTCTTTCTATACCTATTTCGGTGGGGGGGGTTATCATGAATGAATGTTGGATTTTTGTCAAAAGCTCTTTCTGTGTTGAGATGATTATGCGATTTTTGTTCTGTTTATGTGATTGTTGTAGTCAGGGTTTGCAAGGGAATCAATTTTAATACAAAACACAAATTATAGGATTATTTTATAATATTCACCCAAAAAGTCAATTGCAAAGGAGTGCAAGAAACCTGTCCACACACTAGAGACCTGAAGAATCCAGCCAAGGGCCTGGATCCCATGGCAATGTCCCACACAAGTCCACCTAAAGGCCTAGAGCCCAAGCCAATGTCTCATGCAAGTCCTTATGGAGGATCTACACCAAGAAGGCCAAGAGGCCAGTGGTGGAAGCTAGGACGTCTGCACCAGAGGGGTGAAGGATTTGTGCCACCAGGCTGAGAGATTGCACAGGAGCCAGGAAGGCCTAGACCAGAGCTCCCCTAACAAGAACAGTAGCCATCCCCGGTGACGGTGAGGACCCAAGTGAGAACAGCCGAGTTTGTATCAGGAAAACCAGCTGTGGCAAGCTTCTCCAAGAAAATCATCAGCATAAAATCTTCTCCAGTTCTCTTTTTATGCCATTGGCAACAATCCTCAGGTGTGTCTTCCATTGCCCAGATCCACACTGACACGGTTCAGGCCAGGGTGTTCCAAGTTGACCAATAGTTAATCAATGGATTACATTTATTGATATCCATATATTGAACCATCCTTGTGTCCCTGGGATAAAACCTACGTGGTCAGGGTGTATGATCTTTTTAATGATTTGTTGCACTCTGTTTCCCATTATCTTGAGGATTTTTGCATCTATGTTTATTAGAGAGATTGGTCTGTAGTTCTCTTTTTTTGGTTAGATCCTTGTCTGGTTTTGGAATCAAGGTGATGATGGCGTCCAGGAATGACTTCAGGAGTACTCTTTCCCTTTCAGTTTCATCAAAGAGTTTGAAGAGTATTGGCATTGATCTTCCTTGAAGTTCTTGTACCATTCAGCCATGAATCTATCAGGTCCTAGGCTTTTCTTGATTAGTAGTTTTTTGTTTTGAGGGTGCTGAAGAGGTTGTTGGTTGCTTGCTTGCTTTACTTTGTTTTGTTCTTTTTTTAGCAGTTGAATTTCATTCCCTGTTCTTGGATTATTCACTGAACTTGGTTCAGTTTTGGTAATTCATATGTTATAGGAATCTCTCCAGTTCTTCTGACTTTTCCAATTTATTGATGTATAGGTTTGTGAAGTAGTTGCTAATAATTTGGATTTTAGTAGTGTCCATTGTGATTTCACCTTTTTGATTTCTAATTCCATTTATGTGTGTCTTTGTGTTTGTGACTGAGAGAGAGAGCTTGGCTAAAGATTTGTCTCTTTTGTTTATTTTTTCAAATAACTCTCCAATTCCTCCAATTCATTGATGCTTTGTATTTTGTTTTTAGTTTCATTGATTTCTGTTTCATTGATTTCTGCTCTAATTTTTATAATTTTCTTTTTTGTACTACTTCTGGATTTGAATTCTTCTTTTTCTAGGACCTTGAGGTGCATTTTTAGGTTATTTATTTGGGCTTATTCCACTTTTCTGATGTGGGCATTCACAGCTATAAACTTCCCTCTTAGGGCTGCTTTCATTGTGTCCCATAAGTTCTGCTATGGTGTACTGATTGGCATTGTCATTTAATTCTTGAACTATTTTATGTCTTCCTTAATTTATTCTGTAACCTACTGATTTATTCAAGTGTGTGTTATTTAATTTCCATGCATGTGCATTTCTGTGGTTTCTTTTGCCATTGATTTCTAGTATCATTGCACTATGATTTGATAATATGCATGGTAAAATTTTGATTATTTTGCACTTAGGAATGCTTTATTGACTAATGTGTGGCTTATTTTGGATAAAATTGCATATGCTACTAAAAAGAATGTATAGTCTGTTACCATTTGGGGGAACACTGTATATCTATTAAGTCCCATCTGTTTGAAGGTTTGGTTCATCTGTGATACTTTATTTTTGTCTTGTTTAGTTGATCTATTTGTGTTAGAAGGGTTTTGAGATTCCCCTAATATAATTGTATTGATGTTTACCCGATCTTTTATGTGTAATAGGATTTTGTTTTAAGAAGAAAAATGCACTCTTGTTTGGTGCATATATGTTTATAGTTGTTATCTCTTCCTGTTGAATAGTGCACTTAAGCAATACACTTCCTTAACCAACAGTTCCCTTAACCTTTTTTGACTCTTCTAATCAATTTTAGTTTAAAGCCCACTTTGTCTGAAAATAGGATAGCTACCCCTGCTTGTTTTCAGGTTCTCATTGCATGGAATATTGCTTTCCATCCTTTTCTAGTCTATGAATTTCTTTCGAATACAGCATACTGTTGGATTTTGTTTCCCATCTCTTCTGCTAATGTGTTTTTTGACTGGTGAATTGAGATCATTCACATTGATAGTTATAATTGATATGTATTGTCTTATTCCTCTCATTGTGTTATTTTCCTGCTCCTGACTACTTTTCTTTCCCTTCTACTTTTGCTTGCCTACCTGGTTCATTTATTATATTGGCCCTTTTGGCATTGTTCACCTTATTGTCTCTTTCTAGGATATCCTTTGGAATTTTTTTGAGTGCTAGTTTGTGGGTTATGAATTTCTTTTGGTGCTCTTTATCATGAAAATATCATATT